TAATTCGAGACTCAAGCCTCAGAGTAAGTGTCATGGTCAGGCCTTTGCCACATGGACCACGTCTCTTATAGAACCTACTGTCAACCCACTAGCTCTATCGCCGCCGTGACTATCCTGTTTCTATCCCAAGTACCAAGTCTATGACTTGCCATGCCCTAGTCTCTTGTGTGCCAACACACAAATGTTGTGGTACTGCTTGCTTTGACTAGGTTGAATGTTGAACCACAACGTTTTTGGGTTGGCACACAAGAGACTAGGGCATGGGAAGTCATAAACTTGGTATTAGAGATAGAAACATGATAGACGCGGTGGAAATAAAGGCTAGTGGGCTGACATTAGGTTTTATAAGAGACGTGGTCCATGTGGCAAAGTCCTGACCATGAGACTTATTCAGAGGCTTACGCCTCGAATTGGTCACGCAGACGCAGGGGAGGGTGAATAACGCCTCGACTGACACAGATGGAGTCGCAGGGGTCGAGTGAAATATGTGAACCAGAGAGAGGGCAGACGGATCTTACAGAGCAAGAGAGAGACTGTGGTAAGAACTTTGGAAGGACTGCGTAACAATATGGCAGACTCTGATCAACATTCCCAGCACAAGGATGAAGGGATGTGAGAAGGCCAGCGTGGAGTATTGATGGTTCTCATGAAAGCCGCTCAAAAGAGCACATCGTACCACATTTAATTGAGCAAGTAAAAATTGTGACAGTTAAGGCGTGATTGAAGGATATAGGAAATGTGAATAGGCCAGGGCAGAAGATGAGATAGCATAATTGTTTACCACACGTTTGGTCAAAGGATCGGCTTCACTTGTCTCTGACGCGTTGTAATATGGTGCTACGACTGGCAAAACTCACTGACGATGCCGACTATGATGCCAGCGAAAAGTCTGGGAATGTACCAGGTCCACGGTCCGACTTTGGAAATGATGATGCATACAATAAACTCCGGACTAGGTGCGTTCATCTAAGTCTTCCTACCAATATGACCAAGTTGCGAAAACAAGAGCAAAGAACCTCTATACAACAAAAGGAGACTGCGACCACACAAAAACACACCATCTTGGTCTTCATACCTTCGGATATATTTAAGCATGATGTCCTGCTCTGACGATGTAAGTCATATGGCAGACGAAAGCTCAGCACCTTAGTCCCTTTTATCGGCACGGTCTTGAGGCTTGTGATAGCTTGAGGGCCAACTCCTAGAGTCACCATTTATATGAATTATAAAAATATCCAATTAAAACTGTTGAATTTTATGCGTATAGCACATTCAATATATCAAAGTTGAAAACTCTTGAGCAACAGGCGGTTTTGTAGTCGAATTGTATTACAATAATAATTGTAGACATAAATGTTGGCATAAGTGAATATAACTAATGCCAAAATAAATGTGGTTTGGAGACAGGTTAATAAAATGCACCATTTTTTAAAATGCCAGAAGTACTTTTGGTCGCTTTAAAGCAACTCATTTACACTAATAATGAGCTAATTTGGAAATAGACATGCCAGGGCCATACAATATAACTCATGGTAATAATTCTTCTACTGCAAACAGATTATGGGTGTCTATAGAAGGAAATCTGATTATTCGGCCGGTCACAGTCTAAACTTAGTCGTCAAGATTAACGTTTATATGTTACGCCATAAGGTTATAAAAGAAAATACCATTTTTTGGGAATAAAAATTACATATCAGAGTAAGCATGGCAAAACATTTAGTAGGACACAGAAAATTAGATGCAGTAGAGCTTGCATATAGATTAAATAAAGTCAATAGTAAAATAAAATAAAACAGAAATACCTTATTTTGTAGAGACCTTAAGAATGCTGCGTTAGAACTTATCGTAAGAGCAGCAAAATGGTTTCCGATATCAAAGATGGTCTGTAAAATAAAATAAAAAATAAAGTAAAAACCTAAATCAATCATATTTGACAATAAAGTTGATAAAAAAACAAATACATAGGAGAACTTCATGTAGTTTCGCTAAAAAACAATACCTGTTGGCTTATGGAATGACTTTAGAGGATAAGGCAACAAAAATCAACTTATTCGACAAGCCGCTCGCCTAATCTGCACGCATGACTCTCTCTAAGATGCATCCAAGATTACATGAATATTGGGAAAATTTGAATCTCGAAGCACATCGAATGAGGGCTTACATTGCTTTGTTTAAGTTAGTTTATTGGATCAGCTTAAATGTATACATTCATATTTATTAGGCTAGTCAAGCACTAATTCTAAAATTTTTAGGAACTAAAACATATTTAAATTCTTAAACACTGGCATTCTTCATAACTGCTTCTCTAGCAGAAAGCAAACCAAAAGTAAAAGCTAGATTGATGAGTAGTATAATTGAAACCAAACAAGTAACTCATCCGCACTTATATAAATCTCATCGACTGCTTTCGGGTGCCGAATTTGGCAACGTCACATTAGGGTGATTACCTCCAGCATTTCTTATAATCAAAACAGAAATATATGTTTGTAGCTATATATGTATGTCACCCTAGGTGAGTTAATGACTGATAGTTGGGTTTTTCAATAATAGGAGTAGACCTTAGTAAGCACTTGCCTTCCAAAAGGTTCTCCTATTCAGGGAGAACTGCAGTCTTGACCTGATCATCCCGGAACCTACTGAAATAAAAAATAAGTAATGGCAAATATATGTTTGCTTAATCGACAATCCTGCTAAAAATATGACTTCACTTGAATGTCATATTTACTTTGTCATCAATTGGCGCTTAAAGCTATTTAAAGCTAAATGGTAACGTCGCCATGGTGATCAAGACTCAGAATCAAATCCTATTGGGGATGCTGATGAGACCTGGTCGAGATTAATATAGCAGTCCACTCTACATAAGAGAACCTCTCAGGAGGCAAGGATAAGCGAAATTCAATAGCCTTGTGAAGCCTACTCCTATCGTTATGTGGAAAACACAAACTTTAGATCACCTTAACCGACCTGATGTATTATATTATTGATAAAGAATTACTCGAAATTCCCTAACAGCGAAGATAGGCACTGAAGAGTCTGACAGCAGCTTCAATAACATGGCGATAGGGTTATTTAAGTAAACTTAGTAAGAGCAAATATAAACTTTATTTATGAGATGTAGTCTTGAAAACCTACTTAGAAACGAAAAATAAATTTCGACAATACAGTAAAGAGTAAACAAACCATGTTTATTCCTACAAGAATTTTGGCCAATGTAACATGCATAATACGCTAAGAAAAATCAGGAAAAAAGTATTATATGCCACATATATCCAGCCCGTTCCGATTAAAATAAAATAAGAACAATGATATTACTAACCTGGGTCAAAAGGCGGGCATCCGAGCCAGAAGATTGGTTGCCGGAGTTGCATTCCGTAAGCAGGTTAGACTTAACTCCGTCAACTTCAGGGATGACGGGGTGGCTGGAATTCGGGAATGGGGGGTATCTAAGAATGGCAACTCGTGAGAGAAGGCAAAGTGCTCGATGCCATTCACGTGGTCCACCAATGTTGGCCACTATTTGAATAAAGGAGAGGACGGCAGTGGGACAGACAATGAGAAGCCGATCTAAATAAAAAAGAAATGAGGGTAAAGTAAAAAATTACGATGAGGCTAGAAGAGCTGCAAAAAAGTAATTTGATCGACAGGGCTTAAGACAGTAGCGTTCATTATTGTCCTGTATTATAAAACGGTGATAAAAAATTTTAGAGATAAGTAGCAGCATGCGCAGATGAAACGAACAGAAAATGATTAAAAGAGCAAAGTTTTCCTTAATGCGTGATGTTTCTACGTTATTGATTCATTAATATATACTTAGTGAAGTCTAAATGGTGCTTCCACGTGGATAGGGTAGTGGCTTTGAATAGCTACTTAATTCGTAAATTGAGGTTTCAAATTTCATACACAACCAAGAAGACAAGAAAAAAATTCAACCATACCATGTTCTTGCCTTGGTTGTGTGATGTAAAGGACAGCCAGTGAGACTAAGAAAAAGTAAAATGAAGAAGGCGAGTTTCAATGACGAAATAAGAAGGATTATATACATAGGATAACTAGTAGAAAGGTGAAGGGAAATGTAGATTATAATGTTGGTATCATTATAGACCAGTGAATAGCTGAAGTGTGACTAGAGATTCTGGGATTAGATGTTTAATAGAACCACTAATGCTGCCATTTTAGTGAAGAGTATGTTTGAGTGGCGTGCTCTGCTAATTTATATCTGTTTGGGCATTGGTAGTATTTACCATAAATGGAAAATGTATATATGACAGAACTTCGTAACTAGGGATGGCGTGGTAGTTGGTACCATCTAAGCATCCTACTAATATATTTTAGCAGCTCATAGAGAAATGATATCTCTAAGTTTTCATGCCACAGAAGCCCTGTGAAAAGTAAAATGTTATAGAAGTTGTTTGACCTTGTTTTCGCAAATTGGTCATATTGGTAGGAAGACTTAGAGGAACGCAGCTAGTCCGGAGTCCATTGTATGCATGAGCATTTCCAGAGTAGAACCGTGGACGTGGTGCATTCCCAGACGTTTCGCCGGCATTTTCAGTGAGTCTCGCCATTCTTAGCACCACACAACAGCTTGTCAAAGAGATAAGGCCGATCCTTTGACCAAACGTGTGCTAAACTGTTGTGGTATCTCCCATTTTGCCCTGGGCTATTCACATTCCTTATATACTCATATTACGTCTTCTCTGTTACAATTTTTACCGTTCATATTTCGATGTTGTGTGGTGTGCTTCTTTGAGCGGCATTCTCACCCCCTTAATTCTTATGCTGGGAATGTTGACCGGAGTCAACCATATTGTTACGCAGTCCTCCTTCCCTAGGTCTTATCACAGTATCTACCACACTACATCTAAATAAGCACGGTAAAAATTGTAAGAGAAGGAGGATATAGGAAATGTGAATAGCCCAGGGCAGGAGAGATTCCACAGATGTTTAGCACACGTTTGGTCAAAAGATCGGCTTCACTTGTCTCTTTGACGAATTGTTGTGTGGTGCTAAGAATGACAAGACTCATTGACGATGCCGGCGAAACGTCTGGAAAAGTACCACGTACACGGTCCGACTTTAGAAATGATCATGCATACAATGGACTTCGGACTAGATGCGTTCCTCTAAGTCTTCCTAA